GGGTCAGGCCGGGAGCAAAGGCACGAGGCCCTGGGCGCCCGGCCCACGGCAGAGGTCGGCCAGCCCGAGGAGGCGGTGCGGGGTCAGCTGCCGGGGATCGGGCCCGGGTCCACCCCGCCGCAGCTCTGTTCATAGGACGGCGGGGCCTCTGCGGAGAGAGTGATGTCTGCATGGGGCCCCTGGCGCCTGCCCACCCGGGCCCCAGGCCCAGGCCCCCACTCACCATAGGGGTGGTCCCACAAGCTGTACTCCGGGGGGGCGATCAAGGTGCTGGCGGTGGGCACTGGCCCTCTGGACCCCTCTGCGAAGTAGGGCACAGTGGCACCTGTGGAGATGCACAAGGCAGGGGGCAGAGGGCGGGAGGCGGGGCTGCCATCCTGAAGACAGGGTTCAGGGGTGCCCGACACCCCACCAAAGGCAGCAGGTGGCACAGGCGGTGAGTGGCTCTTGGTGAAGAGGGAGACAGGGTCCGAGAAGGGGGGGTGGCTGGCCACAGCCACAGCCTCAGCCTCCTCCTGGGGCGGTGCAGAGGGCACCACAGAGGACACAGCCCCGGGAGGTGGCCCGGGGCCTGGCAGGGGACTCAGCGGAGCATGGTTCACAGCGATACTGCCGATGAAGACCGGGAGGGTCACGGAGGCTTCGGGTGCCTTCAGGGAGACCTGCGAGGGATGGATGGTGAGGGTCCAGGCCACCGGGCCCACTCCCCCCGGTCGCCCCTCGACTCCAGCACCTGCAGGTAGTAGTCCACGTGGATGAGGCTGCAGCCCGGAAGGACCGACTGGGGCAGCGGGGGCACCAGGATCTGCTCTTGCCACTGCGTCCGCCTCCAGGCCTTGACTCCGGCACCCTCCACATCCGCAATGGTCCTCACGTCATAGATCCAGCGCTTGGCCTTATAGGACACTTTCTGGAAAAGGGCCAGCCTGTAAGCCCAGGCAGGCAAGCTACCTACCTCCCCACCATCCCACGGGGACTCTAACCTGCAGCAGACTGGCCACCACAGGGCTGGTGTCCTTGCCCGACTGGTTCTCGATGTCAGCCTGCAGCCTCAGCACCTGCCCCACCACGTAGCCTCGGAGGTCTGTGCTGGCAGTGAGGACCACGCTGCCCGTCTTCACCAGCTTGTAGGAGAACTTCTTGGTGGTGGAGGCCACATTGGGTTGCTGGGGGGGGG